GTGGCCTCGTGACGGGAATTAATTTCCCGCCGCAACACCGGCTTGATTAATAGTCAAGCGCTCACGTGACGATCTCCGATGTTTCGTTGAGAAGAGTCTAGACTTTTTTTTGTTAAAGACTGAAAACCCTAAGTCAATTGTAGTATCAAATAATTGCGGAATATTTACATAAAAAAAAATTCACACACAAGGGGATAAGCGCTATTAAAAAATTTGTCTGAAATTTTCGGTGGATTTTTCGGAAATTTTCATGGAATTTAATCACTGTTGACATTTCCAGGAATTTTGACGTTGAAAATCAACGAGAACTGTAAAATTAAGTTCCATTTTTCCCCGAATACGAATAGAAGACCATAAAATTCCGGTAAATATATTCTGGAATTTTTTTGGGAGGGAATATTCATGTCACTGAATATTCATATTAGATTTGAAACTCAAATAAATTAAGGAATTCTCGTCTTCATGCTGCTCAAAATTCTGGAAATTTACTGAATGTTCAGTGAAACCTGAAATTTCATTTTTTTTTTAATTGTGAGGTACATAATTTACGTTCCGGTTTTTCGGTGTGTTTCATTGAACTCTCGCCTTCTAATTTCTTTACGCTGACAGGATTATTTACGTTTAACGTATAACCCAGAGACCTATATCAAGCCGATGAAAAAGACTTGATAAATATTTTTTAACGGGTGCATTTTACGTCGCAAAATATCACTAAAAAATGTGCGAGAGGTTTATGCGGCATCATAGAATCACATAAAGCTGGCAATAATCCCTCTTGGTGAGGCTACGACCGTAAATTCTACGGTACTCTCAAGCTTCTGATCATAATACACAGCATCATAGAAAAAACTTCATATTTCAAAGCTCATATGAGAGTATATAGTGGAAATGATTTAACGATGTAGCAAAGTAGTTTCTGTAGTCATTGCAGGTCTGTAATTAAATAGATTGGACTGTAAATTTAATCACCAAAGTTTTCAAGGTCGAGCGGACATCAGGGGAGGGAAAGGTTGAGGATCTTTATGGGGTGGAATAATTGAGGGAAAGGGTTGTGTGTTTATTTAGGTGGCAGATACTGCCGGACAGCCATGATCAAGGCTATTCGCAACTCCAGACAACAAGAGTCATGTTTTACTCGATTAACGAGATTAACACATAATTCCGGAGGTTAATTGCCGTGCGATAGTGGGCTGAGGGGTGAGTATTGGTTTTATGGGCAGCAGATGTTCCTTTACTCATTGAATAAGCGGCCTCTATCTTTCAATTACAAATTTTCAATCTATTTCGACAATTTTTGTGTTCGAAATATTTTTTTAATAACTTTTGTATTTTTTTCCAACATATTTCAAGCCTTTTTTATTTTTCTAGCTCGTCTTTTGGGTAATTGGAAAATAATTAAGGCAGCACTGATTCACTCAGCTGTTCACAACTCCATTCATATTTGCCGCGTTAACCCGTCCACGATTTCTAACCTCGACAGCGTCGCTATTCCAAGCTGCGCGCGCCGAATTCCTATTTTTCATGATTTATTAAATTATCTCGTCTGCACAATTCTCCGAGGCCACTTGGATTTTTTTTATGTTCCTCCATGAAAGCTCCTCTCAAGTACGAAATTTCGGAAAAATTGCGACTTTTTTTCTATTTAAAAATTTTTTTTTTCCGAATTATCTTAAGAGTCCGTGTTAAAATGATTTTTTTTAGAAAAATCACTGTGTTTCACCTGTTCTCCTAGGCTATCTGGGATTTTTGCCGTAAATACCATAAATAATTCAGTGATGTAGCGGTCGACAAGTCGGAACACGAGCGCAAGCGGCGCGAGCCGAGACGCCACGAGACTACCCGAGCGTCCACGAGTGTAAGAACGCGTGAATATAGCCGAACGCTCAAATACTCCATTCCAATAATTATTTCTCGACAAAAACAAACGACCCTCAGACATTGATCTTGATGTTAGCTCTCCGATACAGAAAAATTCACCAGTAATTCCTGAAGTGAGTATCCAGCGCTGAAAACGAAAAATTAGGTTATTGATACATGAAATTTCTCTCTCAATTCCCCATATCTACTCGATATTTCACCTCTCTATCGGTTATTTTCCCTCCGACCGGAGTTATCACGTTTCTTACATTGAAAAAAGGGGCGTGAGAATCAAGTGTTATCCCTAGATATTTGAGAATACGACGTCTAGGAAAGGATGATGAACTTCATCCGGTCTGGGAGGTTCCGGTCATGATGGCGCCTCTCATCCAATGTACCGGAGGTTCTCACCCGTCATATCTCATTCCCACCTCCGATAATTCATCCGACTTTTCGCGCTTCATACCTCCAGAATGGATTGTAAAATGACCCGCACTTTGTTTTCCTTATTTTTTTCGGGATGGCAGAATATTCGAGTGAAAAATATCGAATCCTTCGTTCATAATATACCTTTCACTATTTCAATATAATATTTTTTTAGTTAGACATTGGAAATGTGAAATATGAAGTTCAGCATAATTTTTTTATTTACTTTTCGAAAATATTCATCAGTCGAAAAATAATTCACTCAATACAAATTCACGGAAAAAATACTTTAATTATATTTATTTATACTCGAATGGGGGGTGGGTGTTTGAATTCAAGAATGACTATTTCCCATCAGCCCGGGTTGTACCATTATTATTTTTCGACGGAAAGAACGTCTTGAAGACACTTGTTTTCACAGTGTAAATATTTCAGAACAAAATTTTTTTTGGTAAGACCCTCGATTATCCAATGAGGACCCTCGTAAAGCATTATCCCCGTTTACTTTGAGACCCCCTCAGCAAGTATAAGCCGAAAGGGAAATTAAGAGGCCGGCGCGGTCGTGACTGGAGTTTTAAAAGAGAACAAGATGCTGTACCCAGGTTTTTACTCGAGGGGGCGGTACCTGTTAAATTTTCAAACGGGTCAACGCTGTTTGGTAATTACCAACACCGCGATAATTACGAAATGAGTGGGGGGATGAAAGAGTTCAGGAAAGTTTCTCCCGAGAAGCTAAAGATTTCGTGCTCTACTACTTTTTACTTGTCAAATTATCCCACTCTTATTCCCTCTCGCTCCGCGTCACCTGAAGATTCACCGGTGAAACTCGGCGCATTGATTTCCATTCTGAATGGCTATCGTCATAATTATTATAATGACGTGCGGGAGGAGTGAAACGAGCGAATGCTGTAATGTCACAATTGACGGCGAGTGTCATTGTTACCATTTTAATTATTTCATCACTGGGGGGGGCTGCGCCCCCTGTTTCTTCCGCTCGGGAGCCCTTCGCAACCGGTAATGTGTGAAGATTATTCTTTGTCCATCTTCCTGTTCGAATAAGACCTTTCACATCAGGAAAACGAATTGTCGCATTGTAGGAATGTTAAAATATCTCTTTAGTAGCTTTTTTTTTATTTTTTTTTTCGAATATGCGATCATTTAAGAATAAGGAAAGTCGAAAATGAACGTCATGTTTACAATATGCCCTCTCAATCGTGTTATTTTTCTGATTTGATAAGGAGTTCGAGATATTTCGAGATATCCAGATTCATATCGAAATCCAAAACTGATGACGGGATTTCAATAATAATAATAATAATAATAATATTAATATAATAATAATAATAATAATACTAATACTAATAATAATAATAATAATAATAATAATAATAATAATAATAATAATAATAATAATAAAGGAGAAGACCATATATATCGAAATCCCGTCATCAGTTTTGGATTTCGATATATATGGTCTTCTCCTTTTATTATTCTATTATTATTATTATTATTATTATTATTATTATTATTATTAGGATTGAACGAGATACTTGAGTTTATTCGAAGAATACATGACATAAAAATCCCACTATAGAAATGTGGATAAAGAGACAGTTGCGTATATATTTTTGAAGTTGCTCGCGACCCCACAGCCAATCTGAGAAGCATTCCGAATCAGAACTGGGTCGGCGTATACCGGTGGTTTCATACAGACGGGGGACAACAACACAATGCCAGGTATCAGCCGCACCAGTAACATAAAGCTTTCGACATAAAATACAGATGTCTAAGGTAGATATGATTTCTTCTTCACAATTCGCGTTTGAATGCAGCTTAAATTTCTTCTCCTATGAAAAGTCTAGTCGATCGGGGCTTTATGTCTGACGTATTGACGAGTCAACGGAAATTCGATCATAATCCGGGAAATCGAATGAAGTGGTAAAACAGAATGTATCGCGATAACGTAAAACTCGAGGATGTGGGTGTAAATAATGAATTTCGATTTTGGTGGGGGGGATTTTTTTTTGCAGTGAGAATACAAACGCATCGTTCTCGGAGAGATTGCCCTGCATCCTTTACGATCACCTCATGAATATCTAAACTCTGTTTTCCGCGCCAGCTGCATAGCATCTGGTCTGACTGTTGTCGATCTCGAGTTTCGTGGTGCCGGCATCCCACACGTTGCGGTAAAAATTGGGGTGACACTCGTGGGAAAATAGTGTATTTCGTAACGAGTGCAAAAAAGTGTTTTTAAAAACATTTTTTCACGAGTTACGAACAATATTTTTCATCACAATGTGGCGGAAATTGGACTTTTAGGCACGCAGAGCGTGCCGAAAAGTTCACTTTTCGTCACAGCGTGATGAAAATTTTCTTTTAATTACTTGTACGTAAAGCGAAATTTTAGGCGCGCTCCGCTTGCGCAAAATCCCACTTTTCACACATTGTGATGAAAAATCGGGTTTAACACTCGTGGGAAAAGTGTTCTTGGACCCTTGGAAGGGTTGCACTAACACCTCCCACGGGTCAAAAAACCCTTTTTTGTGATACCTGCCTGAAAAGTGCATTTTTCCAAAAGGTTTAATGTGCTTAAAGGGAGTGACGAAAAAAAAATTTTACGCACTCGTGTTGAAATGTACAATATTTAATATTGTATTTTCTATATTTTTCTGGAAAATAAAGTGAAGTGTTGAATATTCCGTGACACGTGCAATGAACTGTAGACTTTTTTTAAGCCATTGAAAAATATGTCTTAAAGAGGTGCAATCGGCATCGATTTATTTGTGTTAATTGTTACATTAAATTAGAATAAAAGTGTAATAATTTGAATATCTTTATTTTCTACATTTTTATAGAAAATAAAGGGAACTGCTGAATATTCCGTGACACGTCCAATAAAATGAAAAATCACTGTCAAGCAGTTGAAACATACCTGCCGTTTTATCAACAATTTAATACTGGAGTTGTAAAACAAAATAAATCATTCCAACTTCAGTTTTTGATAAACATCTCGGAATTTATTGTAGATTGCAGAATTTTTACAGAGATACTTTCGTAGATTTCATTTCGCTCACAAAAATTTCATGATTTCTCATAAATTCCAAAATATTTTGAAGCACTGATCCGCCCCAGAGGAGGATCAGAGCTTCGCGTAAATTTTTTAAAATAAAAATCGAAAAATGTGAGACACGTGATGTTTTATTTTTATAAATACTAAAGGATTAATACTTCGCAGACGATTGAAAATCCTGAAAAAGTTTCAGCGTTATTTTCCTAGAAAAAGAAAATATAATACGAATCTGATATTTTCCACTCTATCCTCGGATCGGTTGATTCACCCACTTAAAAAAATTAATTCATTAGATCAGTACGATCTTCACTGTTGTTGATGCATGCCGAAGTAGAAATTAAAAAGCCGCAATGTCAGATCGTCGATAATATTCTCGAGATTGTTACTGAAGTAACGGTAGTAGCATTTGATTATTTCGTAGAAACGCCAAAACCTGTTCACCTCCACAACCTCTCCAGTCTCATCCTCCTCATCTTCATTCTCTCGTGGTTCATCGCCGTCAGAGTTGTCCTTGTTCACATCTTTCTCAGTCAGAGAGAGTTCTTCCTCCTGCTCCTCGATCCCAGATAAATCTGATTTTTGGTCGTTATCTTCAATTTTGGCTTCTTTAGATTCTTCATCTATACGATGCGCTTCATCAAATGCTTCACGAGACTCTTCATGCTGTTGTTGACTTGATGATGCGTCCGATGTTCCCTTCTTCGAACGATTCCGAAGTGAATCTGAAAATCGAAAAATCAAATCTGAATTACATTCTCAATTTACGAATACAGTTCTTGTAAAATTTCAGTTTTTTAGCTCAAACTTTACTCTTTTTTTCGTCAAGATTTGTAAAAAAATTTGCTTCACACATTTTCTGGAAACATATTTGCACGTTTCATGACATTCTACATCATTTCCAAATGACATTGGGAAATCGTCAGAAGGAACGATCATAATGCTTTCATGCGGAAGCCAAAAACGTTAAGTATAGCAACATAATAATAATATTATAATAAACCAATTAATAATAAATATAACAATATAATTTATCATCGGATCTCATTTGTTTAATGACAGACATTCATTGAGGTGTGAGGCCAACTGGCTTTATTAGACCGGTTAGGCCAGTTGTCTTCCCGTCACATCATTCAATACGATCAAGGAAGAATTGTCAAGCCCGATGTTCTTTATCCCGTTTATTCAAACGCACTGAACGATTCCTCAGACGATGGACAAAATTACGTCATATGAAAAGTAGAAAATATTTTGGGAATTTTCGACGTTTTTTACGGGGACCCACTCCTTAAATGAGTGACATGTTAGTAAAAAATCCAAAATGTTCTCTGTGAATCCCATCACATTCTCAACAGAAAAAAATTAATTGTAAATTGAAATCAATCTCCCAGGTCTAATGATTCTGAATTACCTTTACTGCGAACCATGCTGTCGAATTCCCTCTCCTAATACCTGCAAATGAAAATAATTTTATCAAAACATGGAATACGTAGCAAATTGTGTCGAACGAAGATAATTTTGCATCCGTCCATGTATTTTTTTTACTGAAGAAATCGTAAAATATCGTCTACAAACAGGTATTTTTTCATTGAATTACCTTTCGCTCCCAATTACCTTTCGTACAGTAAAATTTGCCACGATTTTGCACAGTAATCCACAATAATAATTACGAGCTACTTTTTTAAAATTCGACTCCTACACAACTAATTTCGTTTTTCATATAAACAATTGCACCATTCATATTAAATAGCCAGGAAAATGTATCTGAAAGAATCGAGAATAAGTTTGAAATATTTTGGGGATCATTTTCCTGGTTATTTCATGTGCATAGTGCAATTAAAAAAAACTCCTCTGTAGCTAAAAAATTTGAGACCACTAATTACCTGATTTAGACATAAATAATCTTCAATGCATGATAAGTCAAACGTCCTTAAGGGGAAACGGAAGCCCTTTGTCTGTATGAACTTTTAGAATTGTGTTTTCTCCTTCAATTATTAATTTTTATCTATGAAACTACTTTATCGACTTGATCATTGCATTCTTGAGTCAATGAAGTAGTTTCATAAATATACAATAATAATTGCAGGAGAAAACACAATTCTAAAAATTCATATAAACACAGGGGTTCCGTTTCACCTTAAGGACACTGGCATTTGAGAACTCCTTCCGTCACTCAAATTTCTCCCGTAAGACAGGAAGAACCCCATCCCCCGAAGAATAACTCCATTATCATATTCATCTATTTACACTTTACCCAGGCCTCGACTACGTCAGCCCAATGCATGCACCCCCGAGAGTACTCCGATCAGGATAGATTGAAAAATGTAAAAAAAGCCCCAGTCGTACAGAAAAAGGTATGAAAATACAATGGTACAGCGGTGCACCGTTCAAATCGAATACGTATTTTTACATTATCGTCGCGTGAACGAAAACAACGGGCCATCGGTGGTCGCATTGGTACGTATGCCGTAACGAAAAATGTGAAAAACTCGAGCGGGATAAAATGAAAACTGGCATGTACAACTGTAGCATCGATTCGCCTCCCGCGTTCCGCGTCTTCCGTGAATTTTTTTCCCCAAAAAAAAAAACAGCGGTGGGCATATGATACAGCGGGGAAGTGCCAGTTTAATCGTCAATTCAACGTTAACCGTCACCGTCGCTCCAAGAACGCTTTTTTTATTGCTTCGTAAGCGCACAGGGATCCATATGCCAATTCCCCTCTCGTCTTCAGGTGTATCTAATGATGGCAATGGGGAAGTGAAATAAACGCTGTGCGAAATCCTCTTGAATTTTAATTGACCCCGAGAGTGAAAAATCATTGAAAATGGAGTTTTCTTCAGCGGAGAAAATATGGTATAGAATATATTTATGAAGAGGAAAAATGAGAGAGGAGAGGATTTTTTCAATTTTTTCTCATGCAAAAGGATATCCTTGACATTAAATTATTCATGAATTTCTCGTTTACGCTAGGACTCAGCAAAGTTTATTTTATCCATTTTTTAAAATGCAGAAGTGTCGATAATAACTTGAATTCTGGAATTGACTGGAAAAATCATTAAGGTTTACTTATTGAAATTGAAAATGAAAGTCATTGAAATTTCAAAATTAATAAAATGATAAAATAAATGTTCAATTTGTCTGTGAATTAAATAATTGACAATATGGAATAATCAATTGGCTAATTCAAAAAGTTATTAACATTCTCAAAATTTACGATTATTATTTTTCATTATTATTTCAAATGAACTAAAATACCAAGCGGAATGCTCTCAGTGTACGTGGCCATTCCAGATTGAATGGCATTAATCATATAACGTAAATATTAATGCAATTGAAAACGAAACAATTACCGATATTCTGAATAAACGCGTCGAAAACATCTCTCATTAAAAAAAACCCCAATTCAACCTTTTGAATTTTAATTGGCCCCGAGAGTGAAAACCCATGGAAAATTGAGTTTTCTTCAGCGGAGAAAAATATGTTCATCACAGGGTACATATGTTCTGAACAAAAAATCTCCAGCTGGGACATGCTAATTTCTTGTATCCAGCCCTCCGCTGAGTAATTCCGAGCCGCGAAATTGTCCGGTATATTCACACAAGACCACTTGTATTTATATTGAATATTAAAACGTGATGACATAATTTAGACATTCCGACCCATTTGAATGAGACATTTCACAAGCCTTTCTCCACCCAAACTCTCCGGTTACAGCACTTGATAGATTCGAATAAATATGTAAATGCTTTCTAACAATGTTTTTATTTACCGTAGAATATTGTTCTTCCGTTACGGGCAACTGCACTTGCACGCGACTGACGCAACCGTGCGACTTGATAACACGAAGGCGTTCGATGATTTGTGGCATCGCGGTATCAGTAGAACTCGTACTGCCTGAGTGCCATGACAATCGCAGAGAACGAGGTTTCTAGTTTCCAGAAGCAAGTTACTGATTTTGAAAAACGAGTCGGTGGGATAAGCATTACGTGATATGTACAAACTGCAGACTCTTGTGATGAGTGAGAGGTGCTCTCATTCATTTTGCAGGACGAGGATTCATTTAATTACCGTGGGAAATTGAGGGTCCGAGCAGTAGTTACACCTACTTTAGCCTCTTTGGAAGACTGCGATGCGCACTTGGAGTCGGGCGTAGAAAATACTGAAGGGGAGAAAATCGTCTGAACCTTTCCTTTTCACAATTTTTTTTCTCTTCGTCATTCTCGTTCTCGGAGGCTTTCTGCGAACAGACAGGCCAATTGCGAGTTAGTCTGGCATTGGGGAAATGACGAGAGCATGAGGGGATGTGCGAAGTATTAATGGATAATTAGTTGCGAACAACAGATGAAAAATTATTATTAACTAGGGAGCTAAGCATCCCCTTTCTGACCCTCGTGACCCTCATTCTCAGCCTTATTATACCCCTCGTGACCCTTAGGGCCCTTACTCTGACCCTCGCAATACTTATTCTGACCCTTATGACTCGTATTCTGACCTTCGTGACCCTTTTTTGACCCTTGTGAGCCTTATTCTGACCCTTATGACCCTCATGACTCTTATTCTGACCTTCGTGACCCTTTTTTGACCCTTGTGAGCCTTATTCTGACCCTTATGACCCTCATGACTCTTATTCTGACCTTCGTGACCCTTTTTTGACCCTTGTGAGCCTTATTCTGACCCTTATGACCCCCATGACTCTTATTCTGACCTTCGTGACCCTTTTTTGACCCTTGTGAGCCTTATTCTGACCCTTACGACTCTGATTTTGAACCTCGTGCCCCTTATTCTGACCCTTCTGAGGTCTTAATTTCGAGTGCCAAATGTTCATCACCAGAAATCGATTTGTATTTTTATAATATAGAGAGAACAAATAATGCAAACTGTTCAACCTTTCGAAAACCTTATTTTTTAGGTGTGAAATTGATTTCTGATTAAATTCTGAATATAAATAAATTTGTTACGATTCCAAAAATATTATTTCCCTGAAAATGATTTCCCTGAATAAAAAATAGCCAAAGTGCTTGGTCATTCTAAAAATGAAAATTAATTCTGTCGGGAGATGAAAAGAAAATGTCAACTTTTCCTGAAAATTATTAGTAAAATCCTTGGAATATCCAATAAAAATTACTATGAATTCTTCAAACCTCTCAAACTCCCTAAATTTCCAACCGATGAATTAAGCGCAATATTCTCATTGAAAAAATTCCTAATGCCTTGCTAATTCTTCCTCTTTGACAAATGCAATAAACTTGAGATTTTTCTTCCCCGTTTGTTTTCCCTCCGGATTCATCCGGAATACGGGAATAATAATAGCGCACAAAGACGATGGTAGCGATAATCTCCGGGCTTAATTGAATAGCACGGCGAGAACCTCCAGATGAAGATAGAGAGAAATATGAGGGAGGGGGTGGAAAGTGGATAGCGAAAGCAATGATTCAAATCCGCGATGAACTATATCTCCCCCGCTGAGCCATTGGCAAGTCCGAGAAGTACGAGGAGACGGCGGCTGGCNCTCCTTATGTAGAAAGTTTTGCGTCATTAGGGAGAATTGATCGTATTCGAATGAAACAGTGGCGGTGGGATACGGCGGGAGTGCGATTACATTCGTATTATTAGTTTCTGAACTGTTGAAAACTTTGGGGATCTTGATGTCATTGGATTTTGTGAAATCTCTTTATCAAACGACATTTGATGATTAGTCGAGAGCGGGGTGGACTGAATCTAATAATGATTCTCTTCGCACGGAGGGAAATCCCGCGTAGAAAAATTTCTCTTTTGAACATCTTTCAGAGATTCTCCGAAGAATCTTCGGAAGTTTATGTGAACGATCTTCTTGGTGAACCAACAAGATTCTTCAGAAGACAAAATCTTTCAGAAATAACTTCGAGAGATCTCTGGAAGATACATTTGGAATATCTTTGGAGCCAATTGTTTTAGAGGATCTTGGGAAGAAATTTTGTTTTCTTCAGAAGACATTTTTTTCACGATCGCATCGTCAATATTTCAAGGGTCAAAAAATTGCGGGTGTAAAAACTTAGAGTCAAAGCTTTTTGACCAGAAAAGACAACAAAATTTTGGATTTCGTAATCGCTCCCACCATAAGGCAGATCACCTCACTCTCAATCATCAAAATTTTTACATCACCAAAAATATTGTGAACTGTTTTTTTAAAAACTAATGGATGATGAGGTAAATTCAGTTTAAGAAAATGCAGGATCATTACCCTAAATACAAAATCAATGAATTCGTAACAAGAGAACAAATGTAACGCGTCTCGCCAACGCCGCATTCCCACTCGGCAAAACAATTATAGAGTGCATGTTCTCATGTCAATTAGCAGTATGACCTCCTAGCATTCTCCACTCCACCCCTTCCCAGAGAATCGTTCGTGTACTTTTCCGCTGGGAGAGAAAAACGGTGAAGTGACGAAAGACACGAGCGCCGGGGGAAAAGCGCAGCAGAAGGACGATGAAATGAAAAAAAAACACAGCTAAATAGAAAAAAAAAGATCGGAGTGATCTGGCGGTAAATCCTGAAGAGCACGAGCTCTGGTAGTGGCGATTTGCACCCGCCACTAATTGCACGTCAGTTCCAATGTTTCACGTTTTCCACCAGTCGCCCCTAGCTGAAATTCAACCATTTCCCTTCCGCCCGTGGATCGTGAAATAATCCACCGAGTTTTGGTAATTATCTAGTTTATTTTACATCTTCATAATATTTATTTTACATCTTCATAATTATGAAAGGTACTGATTAAAAAAAATCAAGGTTAAGAGGTCACTGACTAGAATACCCCTGATAATCAGTGATTTTTATCCCTGAAATTTGGTGACAGATTCCCCAGAATTAGTGATAATGCGGAGGGGAATCCATTGCATTCCTGCAGAAAACCAGTCCCTGAACAGAAAAATTCTGTCCCCTTCAATTAAATATTTAGATCATATTTGAAGTCTTCTACGGCCAAATAATTTTTTTTATCACTATTCAATTTTTTCCCACATCGTGCATGCATCAAAACATTTTTATATTCAATTTTAATAATAAATGGAAATAATTAACTTGGGAAAAAAGTGGCAACGTCGGCCCGACATAATACTTTGTTTCTCAGAATTGGTAAGCCTGTCACGCTCTAGTGATGGTTCGAAAAATTCATCACCCACGTCGTTCTAATTTCCTATCGATGAGAAAAATAATAGAAAATGAATCCCAGGGCCTCTGTGTGAAGTAACCTCATACAGAGATCACTTTAGATCCACAACTCTCTTTTATACACGTTTGAATTTACCGCGTTCATCCCCACCCGATCGGCAGGTGCCGCGTTGCCACTGTTCCCAGCTGCGCGCGCAGAAATTCTGATTTTTACTGGTTTTTTGTTAATTTTGGCTAAAAAATGTTCCGAACCGATGTAATTTTTTTTGCAGAGGATGTATTTACCAATACGTCACACGTGGACGAAGTTTCGCGACATTGGCTGCATTTTTACATTCATAATATGGATTTTTCTACATTTTCCATAAGAACATGGATTAAATTGCATTTATAAAAACAATGTATCTCGTTGAACCACTCTCTGCAGCAATCTGAAACTCCGCACAGAGCTTCCTCAGACATCGGCGAAAGTACTCAAAAGATTTCATAAAATCCGCTGCATTTTTTTACCTCGCCGGTTCATCGTTAATCCACGACTGTCGAAATAAATCACATCGTGCTGTTCACCGGTGTATGCACACCTCCAATCAATAATTAACCACACGGTCGAGTAAATAATGCAATTTTTTTTTGTTGGTGTAGAAACTCTGGAAATGAGAGGAAATCCCCGGACGATCGTTACGACCAAGTTGCTTCTACAGCACGATTTTCCCTCTCGTTCTATTTTCCTCTCCCAGTTGTTTTTCTCTTTCACTTATTCTAAGGCACGAAACTCCAGCGAACTCGAGAAAGGTGAATAAATAATTCCGATAGTACCACCCTTTCGTAGTACTCACTTTGTCCTTTTTCAGTGATGACTAGCCGGACCCCATGACCTTTTCACTTTTCTCACCCAGATCTTCGCCTGGGACACGGGGGGCACTTATCACCCATTGATTTACATCACGAGTTGTTGCTGCGAGGCGTCTTAACCACGCCCCTTCGCTTTTCTCCGTGGTTTCCTCACTTTTCACGGAGCACCACCGGCCTCTCTCCTCTCATTGCGTTATTTTTTTCACTCCCCCTTTATTCAGCCGGCGGTATAAGTCAGCCGAGAAAATTACTGTACTCCACTTTTTTCTCATCGTGATTTTTTTTTCCACTCATGTTGATTGTGTTAGAGTGCAGCGGAGGCACTTTGAGCCAGTCAATTATTACATTAGACTCGCGCTTCATCGAAGACATTTCTGGATCTACTATCTCTCGATACCTTCAGTTTATTTCATTTTACTCCTCTCCGTCCAGGCTTTTACTGGCTTCTTCATTTTCTTTATTTTTCTCATTGCTATCCTTTTGCACTACCCTCTCGCCAATCTTCCCACCAAATCCAATAAACTTGCCCATCATCGGGGGAAAAATCAATAATCGAGAAAGTAGTTCTTGGTTTCACGCGTTATTTTGCTTTCATCATTTGGAGGGAAGACGAAATATGAAGAATAGGGTCAGTCGCACGGATATTCTCCTTGTTGAGGATTGTGAATTGCGTCATTGGAAAGAGTTATCATCTTTTCGAGTGAGAAGTTCTTGATCTGTGTTTTTGAAAGTTTTCAGGGTGAAACGGCCCTTTTTATTTTGAGGTTTCAGTTTTGAGCGGACTGACGGATTACTCCATGAAATCATAAATTTTCAATGACAAAATTCCTTGAAATTTCATTCGAAATGTTGCTTGTTAGAAATTTCTTCATTTACCTGTT